GGAGACGAAGGAGGAGGAGGAGTAGGGGACGGCGCACACAACTGGCACCCCCACAACCGCCACCCCCACACTCCTCACCCCCAAACCCTAAAACGGGTTGCAAGGGGTAGGAGCGCGGGGGACGGCGGGGGGGACGGCGCGCGGCCCCCAAGGAGCCACCACGGGACAGCAGGGGGCCGCGCGCAGCTCCCCAGGGCGGCGCGACGGGGCAGCGGGGGGTCGCGCGCGGCTCCCCAGGGCGGCGCGACGGGGAATCGGGGGCCGCGCGCGGCTCCCCAGAGCGTCGCGACGTGACGACGCGAACGGGGGGGGGGGACGCGCGGCCCCCGTGGCGCCACGACGGGCGACAGAAGGGGGGGGAAGCGCGGCCCCCGAGGCGCCTCGACGGGCGACGGGATGGGGGGGACGCGCGGCCCCCGCGACGCCACGACGGGCGACGGGAGAGGGCGCCACGAATGGCGACGGGATGGCAGGGGGGGCGCGCGCGGATCCACGGGGTAGAAAACCGCCGCGCGCCTCGGGGCGCACGGCGGGCAGAAAACCGCCGCGCGCCCCGAGCGCACGGCGGGATGAAAAACGCCAGAAAAAATTCGCGCCAGGAAAAAATTCACGGCAGGAAGAAGTGGTCACGCGCCAGGGCGCGCGACAGCAGTAGAGCAGCGGAAGCATCGGGTGGGGCCCACCCACAGGATCGACCCAAGGGGGTCGACCTGCTCTGAAACCATGTCAGAAGTAGCAGGTAGAAACAAGAATGAAGAAAAGGGGTTTCACTAGCAAGCAGTTGGATACATATAGCAAACCCTAATTGGGCTGTACTCACTATGGAGTACCCCACTGCAGGCTAGACAATTATAACATTCTGACAATTAGCGCCTCGGTCACCCGTCGCAAGCAAACCCTGAACAACTGTATTGAGGCAGGAGTCTTCGCACCCGGCGCACTCCTGCGCCCTGATGGCTCCGAAGTCTGAACAACATCGCAGCTGCGCAACTGCACTGCCCTGAAGCCGCGCTGAGTCATCGACCGTTCCCACTGCTGGAACCTGGAACCAATCGATATCCCAAACTGCACAAGGTATATAGCGACTTCCTTGTCGTCGGCCACTGCGGAATCAACGACGAGGGGTACACGCTCACCTTCGTCGACGCAAGAACCCGCTACGTGTGGATCGCAAACGTGCAATTGCGCAGCAGGGCGTACGAGGTCTTCCACCTTTGGCTGGCGCACGCGGAGCGGCAATCCGGGAAGAAGTTGCAGATTTGGCAAACTGACGACCCAACAGAATTCCGCAGCAAAGAGCTGCATAACTACTTGGCGCAAAAGGGAATTTCTCACCACATCTCCCTCCCCTACGCGCATCCGCAGCAGGGTGTCGCTGAGAGCACCAACCGCACGCTCATGACGAAGGTGCGCGCGCTGCTGAAGCAGTCGAAGCTTCCCCCGACGTACTTGCCGTATGCGATGCACCACGCCATGCGGGTGCACAATCTCCTCTCCTCCACCGCCATCATAGGGAACATGTCTCCGCACATGAAGTGGACCGGCAAGAGGGGCGACACCTCCATGCTCCGAGTATGGGGGTGCATGGTGCAGTATCGCGCCGACCTCGACCATCGGCAAATTCGCAAGCCGCGCGCGTTGGGGGATTCATCTCGGCATAAGCTACGAGTATAAGGCATGGATAATCCTGGACCTGCTCAGCCATAAGGTTACAAACGCGTGCGACGTCATCTCGCGAAGTCATCTTCTACGAGCAACTCAACCTCGCTCAGTACCGCGCGGACGAGCAGGCGAACGCAAACCGGGTCTACGCGAACGACGGGCACAGCCATGCTACCCCTGAAGACGAAGTCGCTGCTGCAATCCTGGAGCAAGACAACGCGACTAGTTCACCGACATCGGCGGAGGCGATGACGACGAGGACAGCGACGAGTCGCCTCCATGACCTGCATGAGGAAGCAGCAGGGACGCTCCGCCACCGCCACCACCTGATCCCGAAAGCGACGATGACGACATACAAGAAGTCGTCCCGCAGCATTGTCACGACAGCACTGTTTCCGGGCTGCAGCTACTAGGCCTACACACCGCTACCTCCACAGCTACGCGCGTCCTCGAGGCAAAGATCCCACGCCAAGCTCTAACGGGACCACACAGCAAGGAATGGCGCGAAGCCATGGATGCAGAAATTAAGGCGCTAGAATCGCGCGATACATGGGTGCTCGTCGACTGTGCATCCATCAAAGGCAGGAGAGTGCGTTCGGAGAAGTGGGTCTACCGCGTGAAGACCGCAGCAGACGGGACGATCGAGCGCTTCAAGGTGCGATGGGTCGTACGCGGTTACGATCAGAGGCACGGCATTGATTTCGATCAAACATTTGCTCCAGTTAGTCGTCACACCTCCGTCAGGATCCTGCCCGCTATCGCCGCGGCAAGACACCTACCTCTCTGCCAGATCGACATAAAGAACGCATTTCTCTATGCGCTGGTGGATGCAGTGATTTTTGTGGAGCAGCCGCACACCTACGGCAAAGGGGACCCGCGCGTCTGCCAGCTGAAGAAGTCGCTTTATGGGATAAAGCAAGCACCACGGCTCTGGCAGCAACACCTGCACAAAATCCTACTTGAGATAGGATTCCAGCAGCTGCCACACGACCCGGGCATGTATCGCCTGCATTTCTTCGGCGATTACATCCTGCTCACTGTATATGTCGATGATCTGCTCTACACAGGGACGAGCACCACGCTGCTTGACCAGTTTGAGAAGAACCTGACGATGCGCGTCGACATCACCACCAACCATGACGTGAAGCAGTTTCTGGGCCTTAACATCTCTTACTCGCCAGAGGCCATTCATCTCTCAGCTGCCAAGTACGCTGAAACTCTCGAAAAGCGGTTCAACATTTCCCCCGCACCACTCTCCACTCCCTATCGCACACCCGGACCGAACCACAAACCCGACAACAAAACCCTGTCCCCTGCAGAACTTCACGCTTACCAGTAGCAGCTGGGGTGCCTGCTCTTTGCCTCAGTCACATGCAAGCCAGACCTCTCCTACATCGCAAGCCAACTGGCTCAGTACTCTCGCAAACCAACGGCTGAAAATCTCCTAGATCTTCAGCATGCCTTGCAATTCTTCATCTCCACGCCCAACATTGGGCTATGCTACTCCACAGTCACGACCCCCTCCTTCAACCTCATCGGCTACGTGGACGCCGATCATGCTGCTGACCTTGACAATCGACGGTCCAGAACCGGGTTCCAGTTCCGTCTCGAGTCAACAAGGCCCATCTCCTGGAATTCGCATAAGCAGGAACTGGTTTCCCTATCATCGGCCGAAGCTGAATTCATCGCCGTAACAGCAGCAGTTCGCGAAGGGCTCTATCTACAGGAGCTGCTACAAGAGGCGAAAAAACCATCTTCGCCAACCTTTCGCCTGCACTGCGATAATCAGAGCGCGGCCGCGAACAAACCTGGGTTCGTCAATCGCACTAAACACATCGCGCTGCGATACTTTTTCATCGAAGACGAAGTCGACAAGGGCAAGGTCGATTTGACCTATTGCCCGACGGGTGACATGGCAGCTGACTTCCTCACGAAGCGACTGCCTCGTCACCAGTACCAGCACTGCTGCGAACTCAGCGGAGTAGTCAAGCGGGTCGAGACTTGCTATGGCCAGGAGTGAAGGGGGGTGTTACGAATAGTATATTACGAAAGTACTGTGCACTCCTAACAGTAGCAAGTGAAACATGCAGTAAATAGTACGAAGACGAAAAGGCGGATGGACGCAAAGAGCCCCGTACGGTTACGAAGGATCTGGACCGTCGGGGCAGATAGCATCGGGCAGCTGCAGTGGCGAGTAGTCTGCCGGGAACAGTTCGTAACTGTCTGGAGTCGCACGGTTGGATTTCGCTGTAATAAGGGAATGTATTCCTTAGAGTACATGGCTAGTCTATGTCGTTTCGTATTCCCGTGTACTCCTATTTATACGAATGTATTTGCATGATATATTATCTCAGTCATTTTACATCCACTCTGACCTGAGGACAATCTTCCGCTGTAACACTCTCTGCGAACCTTCCTAAGGTGATCCTAGGGACGACCAACCTTTGATCGCAACACATGCTCCACTCGCTTTTTTCCACGCTGCTTCCACCAGTCCTAACACGCGGATTGCTCGTCTCGAACATGGCATGGTGAAAGGTGGGCGAATGGGCAGTGCTGGGCAAGAGCGCAGCAGATATGACGTGGCCATGCTGCTGCTGTCAATGGAACTCGGCGTCTACACGGATGACATCACAATTGTGGGGCCTTCGGAGTGGGCTGGCGAAGCCTTTGCCATGATTGTCTCTGAACTACAACAGTGCAGCTTGCGGTGCAACGTCCACAAGTCCAGTACTTGGTACCTGATGGCGGAGTACCTACCATACCAGCCACCATGCCTCACGGGCTGGTGGCTAGCGCCGACGGCATCCGCGTTCCAGGCAGCCCGATTGGCACCAGGGCTTTTGGAGCGGATCTGCCCTGCTACAAGGGGAGTTGTAGGACGCGGCAGCACCAGCCACCGCTGTCATTTCTGCTTCTGCACATACATGTATGCTAGGTAGGAATTTCACAATTTGTTCACCAAGATACTCATCATTTGCATCAATTTGGTTCTGCTTCACATAGAGCATGAGCCTGAGGGTAAGGTCCTCCTCGGAGCCATTTGTGATCCCTTTATTTGTGTTAATCACATCACATCCATCCGCGATTGAAAGAAATAACATCCTGAAATGGGTTTCCATAAGTTTCAACACAAATACATCTTATAAGCCTCAGGGGGGGATATTAGCAACAGAAAGGCAAAAAAGGTGCGGTATAAACCCCTAAGGCCGTCTGTCTGGGTGAATACGGTAACGCTTAGTATAGCATATAAGCACCATAAGATAGTAAGGGAAATATGGTGATGTCTCAAGCTATACGGCTTCATGAAAGTGTCACCGTGAGCCTCAACAAATAACCTACAAGAGTTCTGGAAAAAGGTCATCCCACCAATGAGCACCTTGAGGCCTTTCCTTGTATCCGTGCTCCGGTCTGCCACTGCATGCATCCCTACCCGGGCTTGTGCCCAGAAAAACATCAAAATGCATGAAGCAGCTGGTGCTCTCACTCCCACCCACACTATGTGCCTTACTGAGTTGCGCCTTACTGAGTCCAATCTCCTCCAAGAGCCCCTCTTTCCCCGCATCTTCATGCATACTCCACTTGCTCTCCGCCACGCTGCTCCCACCAGACCCAGCAAGCTGATCGCTCGTCTCGAACATGCTATCGTGGAAGGTGGGTGAATGGTGCAAGCTGGGTTCACCGTGGAAGGTGGGCAAATGGGCAGAGCTGGGCATGAGAGCAGCAGAGATGAGTGCTCTGCTGCAGGGCTTGAGTTCGCTGACAGGTGGCAGAGGGAGGGCTGATGCGTGAACTGTGGGATGAGGGGAAGCAAAATGGCTGCCAGAAAAGGCATCCGTAGGATATACCAGAGCTGAATGGTGGCCCGGTGTCTCTTGCTGCGCCTGCTGCTGTGCCTCCTGCGGTGCCTCCTCCTGTGTCCCCCTCGTTGACTCTGCCTGTTGCCGCCAAACCGCCTCCTCTCTGGTTTGTGTCTGCTGCTTCAGAGGCGATTTAGAAGCTTCCTCCCAGCCATTATGCAGCTGCCGCACCTCCCAACCCAGCTCTTCTTTATAGTAGCCCATACAATCTCCATTTCCCTGGGCCGTTGATTGGAGATACACTTCCTGTTGATGAACAGATCCACACCGTTGAATCTGTGCTTGACAGAAGCCCCTCTGCTTTACCATTTGCACATCAGGTGGTTCAGCTTCAGGAGATTGCAACAGAGCCAGGTATCCACCCATGGCTTCCCCCACAGCTGGGCCGCAGTGCTGAGATGTTTCCAGGTCTTGCGATGATGAAGGGATGGAGGACGTGCAAGGCGGGATGGGATATGGGCACGTGAAATCTGCACCAGGTGCCCGCATAGCAGTAGCAGACCAATAATACTGTGGTTCTGTTGGGTATGGTTCTGATGGGTCTGGGTAGGTTGGGCTCGCGGTAGAGGAGTGGAGGGGGGTATCACAAGGAGAACGTGGGTTTGAATAAGGGTGTGGCTTGTAACGAGGATTGGAACACGGATGGTAGTGTGGCACAGAAGAGGGTTGACGGGAAGGGTGGAATGAAGGAGGTAGAGGAGATGGATAAGGAGCAGAGGGAGGGGCAGTGTGAGGGGCAGTGGGAGGGACAATGTGAGGGGCAGTGTGAGGGACAGTGTGAGGAGAAATGGTATGGGCAGTGGGATGGGAAGTGTGAGGTGCAGTGGGAGAAGCAGTATGCAGCGCAGTGGGTGGGGCGGTGGAATGGGCAGTGTGAGGTGCAGTGGTTGGGGCGTTGTGAGGAGCAGTATGAGAAGCAGTGGGTGGGGCAGTGGGATGGGCTGAGAAAGAAGGAGCGTAGGGGGAGGGAGGGTAAGTCACAAGGATGGGGGGACACTGAATTTGCTGGTGAGGATGAGGGCATGCTTGTTGTGTGAGAACTGGTGCAGGCTGTGGCATCTGAAGCAGCACCTGATGTGGTGTCGTCGGTGGCACCTGGGGTCGCACCTGGGTTTGGCCCTGTGGCTGCAGTTTCTGCTGCTGCTGCTGCTGCTGCTGCTGCTGCTGCTGCTGCTGCTGCTGCTGCTGCTGCTGGAGTGGTGGCTTAGGTTGCGGCTGTTGCTGTTGCTCCTGCTGCTGTTTGTGCCGCATTTTCTTTGATTTTGGTCCTCCTGCTTCAGCTGCACCAAGCTGTCGCTTCTGCTTCTGCTCCCGCCACCACTTGGCATGGGCAAACACGAGCATGCACCAACTGTGATGGATTGGATGGGATGGGATGGGGTGGGAGAAAGGTAGGAAACATGCAACAGGGTTTAGAGATGATGCTATTGCTTACGACGAGATAATAGGAGGAGGAGGAGGAGGAGGAGGAGGAGGAGGAGGAGGAGGAGGAGGAGGAGGAGGAGGAGGAGGAGGAGGAGGATGGAGGGAAGGGGGAGGAGGAGGAGGAGGAGGAGGAGGAGGAGGAGGAGGAGGAGGAGGAGGAGGAGGAGGGGGGGGGGGAAGGGGGAGGAGGAGTAGGAGGAGGAGTAGGAGTAGCAGGGTCCTGGAGACAAGGAGGTCCCTTAGAGACGGAAATGAAAGGCACGGAAAGGCACCAACAGTGGAGTGGTACAGAAAGTATTTTATCATAGAGAGGTAAGAGGGGGCTGCCAGAATGCGGACTCTGAGGAGGCATGTATGCAAGGGACAGGAGAGCAGACATCCATACCTGATGGCCTTGTTGTGCTCGTCCAGACACTTCCTGCTGTCGGCCCGATCACTGGATGACTCGGCTACCTGCCCCGCCCTTGCAGTAGCGCCCGCTGTAAGCGGCGACGAATCAGTTGACGAGGCTGCTGAAGCCAGCCCTGCAGCTCCAGCAGGGGTGGAACCAGCAGGGGTGGAGCCCCGAGGAGAGGCGCAGGTAGCTGCCTGCATGGAAGTGCTGTCAGTCTCCCGTCCTGCCTCCATCCCTGCTCCAGCAGGCGCAGAGCTCCGGGGAGACGCGCTGGTGGAAGAAGCAGTCCTGCTCAGCGGGGGATTGCCCTCGGCTTTCCCTGCTGACGCCGCCTCACGTTCATCGTCCTTCGCAGCAGCAGTGGCTCGGCCGGGGACAGCAGAGGCAGGGTTACCGGAAGTAGTAGGGTTACCAAATGTGGTAGGGTTACCAGCGCCGCCGTCAGAGGGGCTTTTCTCGATTCCTTCAGGGTTGCCGTCTTCGGCGGCCATTTCAGCAGCGGAGGAGTGCAGGCAGCGCATGATCTCGTGCACGGGCATGGGCGGCACAGGAAAGTCCATCATTGACTCTTCTGAGTCAAACGGGTCGTCCGAGTCAACGCCGCCGCCCAGGCCACAGCCGCTCATGATGCTGGGAACAGTGCTGGGGCCGGGAGTGCTGCTGGTGGAGTCTGCTTTGTTGGCGTCTTGGATGAACTTTCTGGAGGGTGGAAAAGTGCAAGGGAGCACGGATGAGTGGGCGAGGGGAGGGAGAGTGGGATTCAGACAAAGATTCTGCATGGCCGTGGGACGAATAAGACTCTTAGGAAGTAGGGTTTCTGCAAGGTGAAGGTAGAGGTAGAGGTAGAGGTGGAGGGATAACCCTATTCGGTGTTACTCTTCGGACGATTGAGTTGTCAAACGTTGACAGTTGTCGAGCCCAGTCATTAAGGCAAGGACAAAACCTCAAGATAAAGATTGTACAAGGCACTAAACATCAAATTCGGGAGAGAAAACCCCTGCTACATATTGATAACTGTTCCTTCAATCTTTCCCAGACAGGAAAAGTATGTCTTCAAAACGTGCGTAAGATGTCTCAAGCCAAGGAAAGCATCATTATTTGCACAGCATGAAAAATCAACGAGAGCCAAACACCAAATATGTTTCCTCACCTCTTTAGGAGCAAAAAACGGTTGCAGCAAGCCTTGCTGTCTCGATGACGCCCCAACATGTTGCTCTGTTGAAGCAACGCCCACTGGGACGTGCCATTGTACAGCACATGCTCGAGAAGTATCTTGTCTTCCTGGAGGGAAAAATAGGAAAGAATAACATGTATCTGTAGGCGGCTGCTTGCCTTATTATGAGTCACTCCGAGCTGATGAAACAAAGAGTTTTTTTTTTTTTTTTTTTTTGGCAATGCCGTGAGGTAGTTGTAGTTATAATGTGAATTGCGACAACGCACCTCCGAACTCCACCGTGCCGCGTACGTTCTGCCCGTTGTGTTACCGCGGCTGCCCATTTCGATTCAGCGTCGTCCAGCCGAAGCGCTTCGCATAGACGTTGTCTCTCGCTTCGTCGCCCGTCGCCTCCACTCGTCCACCGCGCAGTAACAAGAGGCGACTAGATGATCTGGCGCGAAAATTGGCGCGACGATACAATCCCCCCCGCGACAACGGCTCCGCTAAATGCAGCTCGCGAAACTCGCACGGGCTGGAAGCTCAGGTTCAAACACTTCCTCCTCACCCGCCCAATTGCTCTACCTCTCAGCTGCTGTTTCCGCTGCTGATTACACTCAGCTTCTCATGCTCTGCTGCTCGTTGCTCAGATGCTCGATACAACAAAGTCTCTGCTAATGAAATCGTTTTTTTTTTCAAGGAACGCGCGAGAATCTCTAAAGACGCGCCCCAAGTGCCGACCCAGATTAAAATGCTTGAAAAAACGGCAGCATTCGAGGTAGACCGATATTGCGTCGCAGATCGTAGCGACAGAATTTATGCTACCCGCGCAGCACCTCTTCTCCCAACAATGGGGGGGCTAGAAATCAGTCGAGACGTTTCGCCGCCTTGTTAGTAGTGCAACCCGTGGCGATCTCCCAAATTCTCGGGGCAAACACTTCGACCCTTCGATCTGTGGAAAGGCAAGCAGCAGCTCATGACAGTCGTCGACCCAGCTTTTGAGGCACCTAAGAAAATGCGGCGTCGTAACAATCAGCGCCACAACTTGAAGCAGACCACGTGAGAGCCAAGCTTAACAAACAGCATTCAAGCTCTAGGACCCACGGGTGGTAAACCGAAAGAACTGCTCCCAACTGAGCCCCGCACCTGACTCAATGATGACCGCCGAAACACAGTGCAGCTTCCGCAGCTTCCGATGAAGCCTCCACTCCAATAGGAGTCCGGCTCTCGAAGGGTTCGATCCGAGCCTTGCGCGGGTATCCGTTGTCTCTCTTTCCTCCGCGTGAAATTGCCCCTTTTCCTATCTCCCTTGCCCTGTGGCTCTCCTCGCTGCGACGGCCGCTACCTGCGCTTCACGTGCTATCTCAATGCTGCTCCCCGTGCTGTGAATGGGGGGATGCTGTGCCCTGCTGCTGCACTAGGCCAATGGACAGGGGGGGGATGTGCAGGAGTGAGAGCCCCAGATTGCGGAACGTAGTGGAGGACGAAGCGCGTGATTGAAATATCTCTGAGTGGCCGAATTCGCCGTTTTTGTGTTGCGCGAATGCGGCGGGATCTTAGATCTTCACGGACGAGGAATGCCAGCCAAGTTGACTGTGGATTCACGGAAACAGCCAAGAGGGTTCGGGAGAGAAAAGGAGAGGCGACAGGCAGGGAGGTGGAGATGAACTGACGTGGGCAGCGCCACCTGGCGCAGGCTGATTGGCCTAATCCGCCGCTATTCGACCTTTCGCATTGCTGTAAAGCCAGGAAGCAACAAGCGCGCGGAGAGCCTGCCACAGGCTGTCGACGGTCGAGCGGAATGCGCCGATGAGGCGGAGGTTCTGGAAGGCCTTGGGACTCCGATCGGAGAGGCAAGTGATTCGTGTGCGAAGTCGCGATCGTGAGCAAGTGGAACGGTCGGGGAGCCAAGTTGCTCTCAGCTTCGTGCTTATGAAGGACGCAGCAGCTTCGGCAACTTTCTGTAACCCGTTCAGTGCTATTCGCGACGCACGCTGCACTGTGTGCTACTACTGTTCGTGGCGACATGTACAGTACCGTGCTGGGGGGAGGCCCTTCCGCTGGATGGAGGCGCGGTGCGCGGAAACCATCGTCAGGTTGGGGGACGCTCGACGGTTGAACGGCAGACAATCGTCCAGTGCATGAGTGAGGGAACGGGGAGCAATTCACCACCTCCGGGAGAGGCGAGGGACAGGGAGTTGTGAGTGAGGTGTGATCGAGGTTGTAAGCGGCACAGGCGGAGGAGGGTTGAAGTGTGTAGAGTGTGTGGAGTGGAGATTGGCGCAACGTTGAGACCGTTTGACATTTGCTTGCGACAAGCTAGCCACAAGGAGAGATCGCTGCTAACGAACCGAGGCTGGCTTGGCGTGTCGTCTTGCATGTGCTGTAACCTCGTGCACCACTACAGTAACGTTGGAAGAACTTCTTGAAGGCACTTTTGCTGCCCTGCTAACTAGCGATATGATCCGTGATCATTTTTGTATCTACTCGACTTGCTTTCGTTTGTCTCTGTCCATCACGCCATGCCCTAATACATGCCGTCACCCTGCTGCTTGCACCCGTCTTGCTTGTACACGCACTGTAATGAGACTACGCTTAGCAACAAACTCGTTGTTTCCCTTTCCCCACATGCGAGGGAGAACAAACACCAAGCGAAAAACAGAAGGCAATGCCTGCCTGGATGGCAAAATCCAGAGACTGGACGGGGGGAAATACGCGGAGACGATAAGAACTTTTGTCCTAGAAAGGAATGGAAGATGGAACGAGGCGCGATGCAAAGACACGTCAGCATCAGCGTTCTTGCCACTCGAATGCGAAGCGCGCGCGAATTTCTAGTGCTGCACTGGCGAAGGATCAGGCGTCCCGATGCAATGGAAGTGGAGGAGCTCGAGGGGATGACTCGCGATGTGCATCCTCTTTTCCCGTTAAGCTTCACAGACCTGCTGATACAGTTTGACAACGCTATATGATATATATGATAACTCGTTTGAGAGTATTCCCTTTTTGTGTTTGAATGCTAGTACAGTTCACTTTTATGGAAAGAATCTTCGTACATATTTTACACGATATGTAATTCACACTTTAAAGGGCTTTAAACAATCTCAGCATTTGTACTGGGAGTGATAAAAGTCAAGAAAGGCGGACGCAAATGCATTTTCTCTGTTATCCATGCACATGTTCCCATAAATTGGGATATCCTGTGCAAAACGGGGGGAAATAAAACAATAACAGGTCAACAAGCGAGTCACAAATGATGCCTCGGACCCCTCTTAGGCAAGTAAGATGAAAGATACACTTCATCCTCTCCTACACCTCCCAAATCATCCGACTCATCACCAAGATATTTGTCGTCGTCTCCGAGATCCCTATCTGCCACGTCAGCACCTACTCCATAATAATTCCCCGCATTATCGCCAGCACCGGTATCGTCATCTGCGTCAAGATCCACGTCAGCAGAAAAGGCACCAGCACCTGCCACATCAGCAGCACCAGCGTCCTCGTCCCCCTGTCCTGGAGTCGCCACATCAGCAGCAATATCTCCGGCGACCAGAGCAGCAATGGCTGCATCGTCAGCATCAGCAGGATAACCAGCGGCGTTACGAGCAGAGGATTCACCAGTGGGGTTACCAGTAGTGGGGGTCTGGAGGAGCTCCACCTGGGGTTCAAATGCAGGCCAGTCCTTGCGAGGCCTGCAGGCGCAGGGAAAGGGAGGTGAGGAAGGCTGAGAAGCACGGGAGATAACAAAAGAAACTGAAAGGAACTAGAGCAGTGCTTATGAGCTACGCTGGAAGAGAGAACAGTGGCTTGAACCGAAATGCATGCAGCCGAAATGCTGCGAGGCTTGCAGTTATGGGAAGATACAACCTGCAGCTCCATCTCCCCCATCGAGCTATACGGACGGCCCAGAACCCTACCTGCCCAGCGTCCTCTGGTGAATTCTCCAACCCTGCCTTGCACGGCGGAAAGCAGGCCTGACCTTGTGAAGCCATCGAGGCCAGCATGACCTGTGTCCTGCATCGAGGCCAGCATGACCTGTGTCCTGCATCGAGGGTGCACTTTGCACCCATCTTCTCACGCTGATGCGCCCGTCTGTTCTCCGCATGAAGGCCAGAGTGGTGGTGCCCACTGGTGGGGTGGGAGCGGCAGCGGCTGCTGCCACCAGTGCCCTGCATCACCTATACGCTGCTCATAGGGTTTAGGTCCAGGGTTTACTTTGTACCACCCACCTTCTCACGCTGATGCGCCCATCTGATCTTCGCATGAAGGCCAGCGTTGTGGTGCCCACGGGTTGGGAGGGAGCGGCAGCTGCTGCTGTGGCCTTTGGGCTGGAAGGGGGTGAGAGGGAGGGAGTGCGTGACAAGGAGAAAGGCAGAAACGAGCATGAAGGCCAGAGCGGTGGTGCCCACTGGTGGGGCGGGAGGGGCTGGAAGGCAGAAAAGTGAAGGGAGAGAAGAGCCGCGAGAAGGGGAGAGGAAGAGGGGAAAGGTACAGTCGAGCATGAAGGCCAGAGAGCCATGGTGCAAAGTGGTGCAGGTGGAGGGGCCTAGGAGGGAGGGTGTGTGTGAGAAGGGGAGCAATGGGGAGGAAGAGGGGAAAGCTACGGTCGAGCATGAAGGCCAGAGCTGTTGGGAGAGGAAGGAGAACGGAGAGGAGAAGGCGAAACAGGCATATCACTTCTACCTCTGCACCTACCTCGCCTTTTCATCCCTCATTCCAGGCTTAAGCACCCCACTCCCCACCCACCCACCCCCGCGCTAATCCCTCTCGCTACCCCACATTCACCCCCCCATTCACCCCTCCCCTTCCCCCTCCCACTCACTCGGCATTCCCCCCGCGCTCCCTTCTCGGCCGCTTGGAGGAGCGGGGCTCCTTGGAAGCGAGCATCTGCCGGGCCAGCTGGTGGGGGCAGGCCAGGCAAGGGATGGGGTTGTGGGCAGGAAGAGGAGGGGAGCAGCAGGAACGTGGGTAAGGAAAATGTGAAAATATTCACCTCTTTGAGGAAATGTGAAAATTCTCGCAGGACAGCACCTGGCGGACTAGCTGGAGGGCAGGCAGG